GGACTTGTGCTAGACTACTACTATTAAAAACCCTGTTTACTTAAGAAACACGAAACCAAAAATAAAACCTATGTAATGGCCCCTTCACCACCACCCCCCTCACTAAAAGTAGAAACAACCTATGAAAAGCTACTCCAAAAATAATATTACCATGGATCAAGATGAAGGGCGAGGGGAATGTCAAAACAAGCAAAATGCAAACCTTTCGTTTAATGCGAAGAGTGGCAATGAACAGGACCTGTGAGCATAGAGCATAACTTTGACAGAAATTGTACCAACAGAAAACCAGGGAATATAAATAAATGGAGTATTTAACTGCTGCTCAAATATGACTACACACTCAGCAAAAAGAGCCACTCTCCACGGGTACATACTGTGAGCTCAAAGTGCTGTTTGGTACCTGCCATCCCCAGCCTGCTTTTCAAGTCAACAGCACAGCATTGGTAAGGCTCCCCACACCGCACTTCACAGACAGCATCCTGCAAACAAGTCAGGCTTCCAATCTGTATGAAGGGCCAGATGGTGAGTGGACTTCATCTAGTAAAACAACATGATGGAAAGAGCAAAAAAAGAGTGTGAAAAGAGAATGCGATGGCCCCTGGTGCACTGGCAAGTCCATCAATAGATTAGGCTAAATTCACTGCTACCTTTGTGCTACCCTAATGATGCGCAGCAGCTGGACAGCAAAGCTGGCTATTCTTTTAACAACCCAGGACAGAAAGAATACGAAAAAAAATAATTAAAGGAAATTAAATTAAATGAAGCATTTTCCTGAGATGTTAGCCTTTGCATATTTTTGAGAACACAACAGAAAGCACTTCAAATTGAATTAAAGCTGCCAGAATCTTCTCAGGGTTCTGTTCAAATTACCTTTTCCCATTTTAATCCCTAAACTAGTGGGGGTTTGCTCAGCTATCTAATAATTTGACATTTTAGGACCTTAACAAGAAATGGAAAATTCTGAGTGTACACCAACTTGAATAATTTGAAGTTTCACTTTGATGGTAGAAAAGTCTTGATGAGGACTTTGAGTAGTCTATCCTAACCTGGACTTTAACTGCAATCAGTTTATTTAAGCAGGATTCCAAAGTACCAAGCAAAATTGCCACTGGTGTAAATGCAAAGTTGCAAATTACTTATGATCACATATACAGTAAAAGAGAAGTGCAAGGGTGAAAAAGTACCGATGTTTAATGCCCTGTTCCTCTGCTAAAGCAATTATGGGATATAACATGTTCTGAAATGAAGCAATCACGTGGATCACACAACATTTGAAGCATCGCAAACATTGTTGAGTGTAGATGGTAACAGAATATTAAAGGAAATGAAAAGAGAGCAAAGCACAAACCTTCAAGCCTCAGGGACCCAACAATAGGTCTGCTTCTCTGGCAGCATGCTGAGGACTATTCCTGCAGGAAAAGTTCACTCCAGACTTACCAAAAGACACAGGAGTGTTCCCCCATGGCACCATGTCATGGGGAGTATTTGCCTCTGTATACAAGTATCTCACCTGAGCTTTCTCTTCTGAATAAGTTAACCTGGAGCTGTGCAACAGCCAGCCCCATCAGAATGACAGTGCAAGACACTTTCTTTTGTTACCTCCATAACTTCTTATCAAATTTCCTTGGTTACTCCTTGCTCAGTTTACAGTGCAAGGACCTCTCTTCCCCTATCTGCCAAGCCATCAGACTCAGCCCTGGCTCTGACAGTCAACCTGGACTCTTTCCAAACAGGAATAGTCAAATGCAATAAACCTCCTGCAATTACATTCCCTTTGCAATGATACACAAGCCTTAAAGGAGTTTGCTTTCCCTTCCCTCACCCCTTCAAAACAGTGCAGCCAGGAGGAATACACACTAGCTAAAGTCATTATTTTTTCTGACATAAGCAGATATGACTTGGATATTTTGAGCAAAAATGTTTCATTCTTCTGGGGCATTGTTCTAACCATAGCGGTAATTACTCTGCTCAGCCTTCTGGAGCAGGAATTTCTAAAGAAGTTAATAGGCTTGGTGGCAGGAGCTCTTGGGTAAGATTTTGTGGCTCATGTTAGGCAAACTGCTGGTTTAGAGGATCATAACCTACCCCTCTGGCCTTAGAATTCACAGATTCACTAAATTAAAAACATCTCTCTGTGCATACAGTATTTCCTCCTCAAATGGGCTGGATGCTTTCTATCTCCACACAGAAAAGAAGCACAGACTCTGCTAGAACTGGCAATGGGGAGCTGAAAGTGCTCAGAAATATCACCACCAGCTTAAAACTTAAATGTTTAGTGGGAAAAAAACAACCAAAAAACACAACAGTCAAAGTACTGCGGTGCACTGATAGTGAGGAAGCCCAAGTAAAAAACAGCGCTGACAAACCAAGACCAACAGACCCAAGCTGCTTTACCTCCCAGGTGAGCTGGAAGGTGAAGTGGCCTCAAACACGAGGCAACCTCCAAACATTCAAACCGTCGTTCCTAACGTCCCTCAAGCACTGCGTAAACATTGGCTAACCTCCGAAAAGGGTTTGGAAGGACAACGATGTGGATTTTGCAGAGGGCACGCCCACAACTTGCAAATAGCAGGGGATCTTGCTCGCTCAGCTTTCATTGCAGGAATGTATAAAACCGAGGAGGCAGAACACAGGAAAGGCGGACGCTGGCCTCTCCCAGCATGGGGAGGGGTGGGAGGGAGGACGGCAGCAGGTTCGTGAGGGCTCCTCACAAAGGGCCCCTGTCTGCAGCGACCTGGCCATTGCCTTTTGGCTCACATCTTGAATAGAGGGCACTTTTTCAGCAGGTTTCTTGGGGAACTCAAAGTATTTTCTCTGCATAGCACATTTATTTCTAAAACCACCCTAACTTACATCCCAAGAGATGTGTCCGATGGCTGCTGGGACAAGTCCCAGTTGAACACTGTACTGTGTTCACCGTGTTCCCCAACTACCCCAGCTTAGTGTGAGACCAACCCCTTCTCTCCTAGCTGAACCCTTGCCAAACTGAAGCTCACCTCTTGCTTTCTAAGATGATGTGCTCTTAGTGATGAGGAACGAGGGGAGCCTTTTTCAGGGCTTGCTTCCTAAATTATATCCTTTGGGCCAACAGAGATCCACATGGGCATCTTCAAGGGACCATTTTGGGAAGGAAAGGACAGTGTGGTAACATTCACCTGAAATAGACATGGGGGTAGGTTGTGGCCCAGCTCACATGGGAAACCAAGAATGTCTGTTGAGACCATCACATCTGAACAGCTATCCTTTAAAAAGAAAAAAAGAAAAAAAAGCCTTCTCATGTCCTAGAGTACTAGTGCTGCCGGTATTAGTGAAATGAAAGTGGTCTGTCTGTACCACTGGTTGGCAAAGTCTTCTGCCAGGTGTGACTCTATGCCTGCCCAGGAAACAAGTAGGGATCTGCATATTGAAGACATTTGCTGCATCTTCTCTTGGCCACAAAGCTACAGACCTCTTCTGCTGAGCAGCACACCCATCCCCACAAACATCAGAAAATGATTTCAGGAGATCAAACCTGCTGCGGCATGTCATTGTTCATCAGCCTGAGCTGGATAGACCCTTTCTGTGCAACGAGACAGGCTCCAGCATTCTCTCATTTCTCTCTGCCAACAGCAGCCAACCCTGGGTCCATGGGTTCAATAGCATGGGCACTGCTGGTATCTCCTGGCACAGCCAAACTTCAGGAACACCACTGAAGGTGCAGTGCCTGGGACACGGTGGGAGCTGTCCCGGCTGTCCCAAGCTCCTCACCAGCATGGCAAGGTCAGGAGTGAGTGTTTTCGGCAGTGCTGGAGGGCTTTCACAGACTCTGTCAAAGACATGGGCTAAATGTGGAAACACCACAGAGGAAAATTACTTTTTTGGGGGCAGCTGGGAAGTGCTTTCCATGGGTGCAAAGACTAATACCCCTTTTCTTGAAGCTGACACCTGCCTATAGTCACCATTGTCTTAAGGGGCCTAAAGCTGCAACCCTCCAGCCCTGTAGTAAGGCAGCACTTGGGCACTCTCTGCAGAACCAGCACATCCTAGGAATTCATACCATCCAGGTTGTCTTTGCTCAAAGTTTGAATATCCCAAAGACAAGAGCTGTGGAAACATGAGGAGCTAGGGTGTCCTAGTACACACAACATGATAAAGATCCATCTTTCTCCTCGTTGTTTGCAGATGAAAAACTCACTGTGGTAAAGACCCTCTGAGATGTGCATCAACACTGTGATGATGTTCTGGGCCAAATTTTAGCACGGTGTCCGTTATGCTCCCCCTCCTTTTCCTTTCATATTCTTCCATCCCAAAACAACAAAAGGCAATGATTGCAGTGACCTGCAGAAAATGTAAAGCACAAGCCAGCTGATCTCTGGCAACACAATAGCAAGATTAGTTCATCTGCAGTGAACAAACACGTATTATGTGGGTTTTAAAGTTAGGAGAGGAAAATGCTGTGGTTTTCATGTATTTCTATTCACTAAGGCTGCAAGTTATTACTTCCATGCAGCTGAGAAGCCCTATTTTTAAAAATAGCCTTCAGCTTGTTTTGAAATCTGCAAGCATCTCGCTTTGTTTTGCAGCAGCGTAATAAAAAAACCCGAGCCAGAAAAGATCCCGTTTTCCACCACACGCTTCACCTCCCCCGCCCCAAACCCCCGCGCTCCACGGATGCTGAAAAAACTCCTCGGGGAAGGGAGGGGGGCGGGTAGAAGGCAAACAAACAACAACAACATAGTAAAAATAAAAATAAAAGCACTCCCACACGCACCCTACGCGCGGAAAAGGCAACACGGAGGGGGGAAAAAAACCAAGCCCGAGAGTCGCCGGGTTGGAAGCGGCGGCGGAGCCGCGACCGCCGGCAGACAAAGGGAGCGGGGTCGGCCGCGGGCGGGGAGCACGGCGGCCGCCCCCCGGGGCCGGGCCAGCGCCGGGGCCGCCCCCCCGGTCCGCGGCGGGGCCGGGCCGGGCCAATGCGGCCGCCGGCGGAGCGGCGCTGCCGCCGCAGCCAATGGAGGGCGCGGGCAGCAGCGCTGCCGCCGGAGGGACGGGGGGCGGCGGGGGGGCCCCCGCCAATCGCGGCGGGCCGGCGGCAGGGAAACACTATTATGCTAATGGTGTTTTGCTCGCACTCGCGGCGAGCGGGGTTTAAAAGGCAGCGGCCGGGGGCAGGGGCTCAAAGGCGGGAGGCAGGGCCGGTGTGAGCGCCAGCGGACGGGTCGTGAGGCGAGGCGAGGAGCGGATCGGCGGGGGGGGCATCCGCGCCTTCCCAGCCCGCCGCGTCCTGCCCGGCGGCGATGTCCAACGTGCACCTCTCCGGGGCCGCCGCCCTGGAGCGCCTCTCTGCCCGGAGAGCCCTGGCCGGGAACGGCCGCAGCCCCGTCTGCAGAAGCCTCTTCGGACCGGTGGACCACGAGGAACTGGGCCGGGAGCTGCGGGAGCGCCTGCGGGAGATGGGGGAGGACGACCAGCGCCGCTGGGACTACAACTTCCAGACCGACACGCCGCTGCCGGGGCCCGGCCGCCTACGTTGGGAGGAGGTGGAGGCCGGCGCCGTGCCCGCTTTCTACCGGGAGACTCTGCAGGTGGGACGGTGCCGCGTCCCCCTCCTCCAGGCGCCCCCTTCCCCGCCGCCACCCCCCGCCGCCGGGAAGGGGCCCGGGGGGCGCCTGAGCCGGGAGAACCGCGCCGCGCCCCGCCGCCGCGGCATGCGGCCCCGCCGGAGGGGCCCGACGGCCCGCATCACAGGTGCGTGGGGGTCCTGGGGGGGCGAGGGGGCTGGGGTCGTCCCGCCGCATTGGCTGATGGACCCCTCCTTCCTCTGCGTCCCCCATCCAGATTTCTTCGCGAGGAGAAAAAGGCCGGCGGAGCCCAAGGCGGCGGCGGAGCGCCCAGCCGGCTGCCCGCCGCCCCCCGCCGCCGTGCCGGCTGAGCAGACCCCCCGCAAGCGGCTCCGGTGAGCCAGGTGAGGCGCGACCCGGGGGCGGGCGAGTCTGTCCGGGTGCCTTCTGCTGCACTCTTTTTTATTTTTTTTATTTCTCCTATCACCACCGATTTTTTTCTGATCATATATTTTTTTTCCCTCCTCCTTTCTGTTCTTCCCCAGACTTTTGCACTACTGCACCCACGGGAGAGGCGTGCCGCCCCCGAAGGCGCGGCGCCCCGGAGGAACGGGGGCCGGGGCGGGCGGGGCGGCGAGCTGGGACCCCCCCGTGCCTGCCTGGACCGGGAGCGGGAGCTGGAGCCGGAGCGCCTGCCCACCGGCCGCGCACGGAGCAGTGTTAAAAGTACAGCTGTGCAATGTATGACGTTCTGTATAGAAATGTGTTATGCCTAATATTGAGTACACTGGCCAGAAGTGTAAAGCTTTAAAAAGTCATTTATAAGAAATGTTTAATCTCTGCTGAGCTCTCAGTGCAAAAAAAAAAAAAAAAAAAAAAAAAAAAAAAAAAAAAAAAAAAAAAAAAAAAAAAAAAAAAAAAAAAAAAAAAAAAAAAAAAAAAAAAAAAAAAAAAAAAAAAAAAAAAAAAAAAAAAAAAAAAAAGGAAAAATGAAAAAAACACAAGTGTATATTTGTACAAATTTTTTTAAGAGTTATACTAACTTATATTTTCTATTTATGTCAGAAACGTGGATAACTTTGACATCCAATAGTCTTTTTTTTTTTCTTTTGGTTAAGCCAAAGGGCACTATATTTGCTTTTGTTATTTACAAAATGTAAATTTATTTTTATAGTGGATTTTTTTTTTTGCATTCATAAGATGTAGCTATGAATCAAAATATTTTTTAGACTTTACTTGAAGACAAATCTGTTTCAATGGATCCTGAGCCGGTCTGTACCACTACCATTGCAAGTAATGCCACAACTTCGATAATAAAATAAAAGGAAACGCCTGCAAGGCTGCTTGGTGTGTGTTTTGGGGGAAGTCCGGAGGGGAGGGAGGGGGGAAGGGAAGGGACAGACCCCGAGGCTTGGGCGGTGGAGCCAAGCCCGGCTCTCCGCGGGGGTAGTCCTCCCTCGCCCCAGGCGCCCCTGGAGCACGACCCGGCCGCGGGGAGAGCGCTTCCAGCTACGCCCCCCGGCGAAAAGCTGGCGTGCAGTCCGGAGGGGAAAGGAGGGCTTTTTCCCTTAAAAATAAGTGTTCCTGAGTACTGCTGGAGTTAACCCAAGCATGAGGGGAGTACGCGCCCTTCGTGACGCCCTCAATTTGGCCTTTCGCTACATTTATGGTTACTTTTAGCCGTTTCCCCTTTCGTCCCAAAGCTGTATCTGCCCCCTTTCGAGGACCCGGGCTGCGCTGGGGCAGCCCTCTCGCTCAGCATAGGGGCTGGGCCGCTGACTCCCTCCCTTGGGCATAGCCTGGGGAGGGGGGGACTGGTGCCTGCGGGCTGTGACCCCCAGCGGCTCAGCACTAGGGGGACGCCCCTGCCTGGGTTGTGCAAACCTGCCCCGCCCCAGCCGCGGGCCCTCAACCCCCTGCCCGTAGCTCGGAGCTGTGGCTACTGCAGGAAAACACTTCCTGGTACCTCTTGCCCAGCAATGATTTACAGGGCAAACACACCACAGTTCTGGGAAGGGCAGCAGTTCCAGCTCGCCCTAAAAGAGGTAAAGAGCAAAACAACAAGCACAAAATAAATGCTCCCAACAGGCAAAGCAATCTGCATTTTGACGTTAACGCTTTGATGGCAGCGTTGTCACAACTGTGCATCCACAGCACTTTGTGGTGTCACCTTGTCCCCATGGCCTGGAAGGGGGTCAAAGCCACAGGATATACACACACAGCCCTGTGGGGTCAGGGCAAACCCTGTGCTGCTCAGGGAGGAGGGACAGACCAGGGCTGGTCTTGGCTACAGGTGATGCAAGGATTGGGGTGCTGGAGAGTACAGATGGGTAGCAAGGATGCGAGAGGAGGACCAGGATTCTAGAGGCGTGGAGACTGACTGGCCAGATTTATCCCTTTCAGACCCCACTCCCCACTCTTGCACCTTCGTGAAGCACTGCACCCCCATGCTGGACCCAGCAGGTGGGGGCAACCAAGAGGGCATCATTCTCTGGCTTTATGAGCTCTGTATGATACTCTTTCACGGAGGGGGGAGGGAGCTGAAAGAATGAGGTTCAGGGTGAATAAGGCTCAGGGTTTATCCACATCGTCTTTCCCCGGTCCCCGCAGCGCTCCTCTCTGCCCCCCCGTCACGGCCGCCAAACACTCCTGGCTGTAAAAGTAACATTGATTACCTCCAGCTCCATGATCGCTTAATCAGAACGGGATTATTTTACACGCCCGCATCAGTGGCCGCTGACTCAATACGATTTTCCCCCCCTTTGAAAAGAAAAATAGCTTTTCCCTTTCCTTATGAAAGCCAACAATACCCGGAGTGAGGCAGCTGGATCCTCCAGGATTTATGGGCTTTTCTCTCGCTTTCATGAAAGCAGGTGCCTTTGGGACCTCCATTGTCCCAGCCCCCAACTAATAATAGGACTTTTTGCAATGAAAGATCCCTGCTCCGAGCTCCCAAATACCTCGGTCAGAGGAGCCACCGCCTGCCCCGAGGTGTGCTCAGCCTGGCTCAGGAGGAGAGCTCTCACCGCGGGGAGAGTTTAGGCACGGGGCTCTTTATTAAAGCAAATAGTTCCAGCCCATGGGCATAGCCCGAGAGGAGCCGGAGGGTTCCCAACCCGCAACAGGGAGGGCCACATCCCGCAGCCCCCTGGGCTGTGCTTTCCTTGAGGGCCCGGGGGTGCGGGAAGGTGTGCGGCCGCCCCCGCGCCCTGCCCCACCCAGCCCGGCCGGCCCTCCTCGCCCCGGCACAAAGCACACTGCCCCTATTCTTTCGGCCTTTGTAGCCATATGGCAAATCCATGTAGACACAGCCAACATCCATTTATTCAGGCACATAATGTCCCGCAACAGGGAACAATTGGAACTTTGTTTGCTTCTATTATTGATGCGAATGGGCGACAGAGAGAGAGAGAGAGAGAGAAAAAATCATTTAACTATAAGAGATATCCAGCTAATTATGAACCATATGTGCCTATAGTTTCAAAGCAATCCAATGAAGTTCATTTTAAATCTAGACTACTTTATTAGTACGGAAGACAGATGTCTCAACAGTACATGCATCAGAGGAAACCATGTAAAGAAGTTCTTGAAATATTTAACTAGGACTCATTCATTGTCAGAGGGGCTTTAAAGTGCCCTTTATCATGAGAATGCATAGGCAGAAGCGGAGGGAGGCTGCTGGTTGTTACTGCCAACCCACTTACCCCTTAGTGCTAAATCCCAAATTCCACTTTGGATTTGACAACAGGAATATTTTTGGAAAAGATTCAAAATATCAGGGATCTTGAAGGACTGAGCTTGCTGCTCATTACAGCTACAAAAAGTCAGGTCATTATTTGAGCCACTTTAATCCCAGACTGAAACCAGCTACGCAATTAGAGGAATAATCTGCTCCAAATCACCACTATTCCCTCTCCCAAGGAGCAGAGCCATGCTCTTTTGGAGGATGGCTACTGCAGTTCCTCCCCTGTCCCAAGAGAGATCGAGATGGGAGTGTTAACATTACAAGACCTACAGAAATGTTTTCATACAATCATCTCTCTATGTGAACCTGTGGTGGGCACCTAAAGGGAAAGGGCTCTGAAGGAAGACTGGAAGGGAAGCCTGGTGGGAGGAAGTCTTTCAGATTTATTTTTTTTTTAGGGAATGCAATTATCAGCAAACATTCTTGGCAAAAAGCTTAGCGCTACCTTTACGAGCGCAGCAACATCTACCAGTAATTAAGCCACTTCAGTTAGATGAATGCAACATATGGTTGACACTGGGAATCATTCTCTGTCCTAGCCACAACTTTTCTTTCTGCGCCAAAACTTGTTCTATTATCACTTAAAATAAACAAAAAGCTGCTTTCCACTTCTTCAGCAAATATTTGTTGCTAATGAGCAGGAGGTGTAGGTAACAGGATGGGGAAGAAATCTGTAGTTTTTAAGGAATGATTTCCTAAGTTTGGATATGGAAATAAAATTAATTCACTAAATGCCCAATTCACTTGCAATGAGCTACAATTGCTTGGTAGGATGGCTACACAGGGAGATTTGTGTGAAGGATCCTCACAGAGAGATGTAAATTGAATTGACTATTTTTAAGCACTGAAATAGTTATGAAGAATACTTGCATATATACAAACACACACATGTATATACAAGAAATAACTAATCAGGGAATATAAAATAATTTATCAGTGAACTGGATTTTTTTAAGCCACATTGTCACCTACTGCTACAGGATAAACTCACAGTGGTTTTCCAGTGTCTTCCCTTTCACTAGCCTGTACTCTCCCAGAATTGTTCCTCTTGACAAGGATTTTTGGAACAGAGCAAGCCAAAACACAAACCAAAAGTCTTTACCTAAGGTGAAAGGATGGGATTATATCTGACTCACAGAGGATGGAGAAGAATCAAGTACCTCTCTCCCATTGCACAGTATCTACTGCTAAAGACTGCATGATCTCTTTAAGTGTCAGTGATGAAATTCCCAACGGGAAGTGCTTCATTTTTTGGTTTATTCAGTTGTTTTTTAAACCAGGGGGGATTTTTAGACATATATTTCCAATAAACCTTTGTTGGGACAGATTTTTGGGGGAAAAAGAGAAATGAAAGATGCTAAAATGGTTAGATGATATATGGAATGTAAAAGCCCTGAAAGCAGGCCTTTCTGTGAGATAAAAAATAACTCAAACTCTTTTAAACACAGAACAAATTAAATTTTGGAGCCACTTTCCGCAATCTGCACAGTCAAGCTTCTGCTTCAGGAAAACTGTTGGCCAGTGGTGGTTGCACAGCTTCGTGTCTGTATCTGTGGTGCCACATGGGCCCCAGTCTGTAGGATGAGGATGCAGGGAGAGGGAACAGGAGAATTGGGAGGCAGCACCAGAAAACACCTAGGATAGGGGTAAAAGGCTGTGGGTAGAGCAGAAGCACAGTTGGGGTACACTGGAAGAGGCTGGGAAGGGGACACCAAACTCTGCTGGTGTGATCAAAGGGAGGGAGAGAGGGGAACAGATTGCAACGTTTATACTTTGCATTATATATTAATTTCTGTTTATATTCTGTGCATTCCTTCAGAGGCTGCCGGGTCCCAACACACTTCTGCTGTCAGCAAACACCCAGGAAACTCATCCAATAACATCGCATTCCTTCCCTGAACTCATCTACAGATGTGTGTTAGCAATAATCTTCTCTTTTTTGTTCCTGCTTCCCAGGTCAGTGAGGGATCTAAAAAATTCCCCAGACCTGCTGAGGAGTCACTGGGCTTCACATCATCACAAGATTACTTCCTCTCCCCTACCAGATTTGCTTGAGCATACTTGATGCCCCCTCTTACACATACTGCACTTGTATTACATGGAG